TTCCTGGATTCTATCTTAGCCTCCGATGTCTGATTGGGTTGACTGTGATGTGCATTCTGGGAACTGGGCATAAACTTGTACGTTACTACGGGGGTATTGATCTCTTTCAGTTGCTCCAGGAAAACCTGCCAAAGCTTCATTAACCCTCGAGACATTTTCGGAGGTTAAATTATCAATATTTGAAATGAAATGCAACACCTATAAATATAAAAAAAAATTAAATTTATTTTTTACTTTGTTTTTACCATTAGTCTTCTTTTACACCGTTATTTTGTATTTTTTGTCTTCAACTATATAATCAGAGCTTTTCTTGGCAATAAGTTTTTGCCACTTATTCTAAATGCCTTTATTTAATTGATAAGTTTGTTTAAAAGTAATATGCATAATTAATACATATCAGTTTTGCAGTGTTTAGTATTATAGGGAGGGATGATGTTAGTTGTCAGTTTGACTGCCATTACCTGTAAGCTTTTCATTGAAACACTATGCAATAACAGGCACCTTTACTGGCCCACATTAATTCAGTTTGGATCTTTATATTTTTTTACCCAAACCGTAACAACCTCATGTTGGAAAAAAATTATTTCTTTGGTCGTTTTAAAATGTACTTTTGATCATAATTAATTATTGAGATGATTTATTTAATACATTTTTTATCTAGACCTGCTCAATGTTACCTCAAAAGTTCAGATGAATTTTGTAAACTGTAACGTTACTGTTATGCATTCCATGCAAAAATTGAACCAAACTCCCATTTAAATATTGCCGAGACTGGTTCTTATATTTAAAAAAAAAAACTTTTCTCGTTTTAATGTAATTCATCTATTATACATCTTTTACTTAAATACAAAACTTTATATATTTTTTTTACAATGAATTTTTGTAGGTTTTATCGTCTTGTCCTATCACTGTATGGATTATATTTTCTCATCCTATCACTGTGTTGATTGGATTGTCTTGTGTTGATTGGATTGTCTTGTGTGGATTGTTTTAATTTAGTTGCTTCAGAACTTTATTTTTCATAAAAATTTGAAACTAATGTAAAAATTGGATATCCTGTGACCTTAGTTTATCAGGCCAGTTTTTCCTCTGAGTTGAGCCAAGATTCAAATCGCGCACCCCCCCCCCCCCCCCTTTTTTTTTTTTTTTTTTTTTTTTTTTTTTTTTTTTTTTTTTTTTTTTTTTTTTTTTTTTTTTTTTTTTTTTTTTTTTTTTTTTTTTTTTTGTTGTTGAAACAAAATAGTTCCTATCTCATGGACTAAATGTCTTGTGAATCCCCCTGCCCCTCCCATAATCTTTAAATCACACGCCACCCCATTTACATAACCCTGATTTTTCCATCGAGTTCAATAAAGGAAGGGATTATTTCACTCTTTATATTAAATATACACTAGTAAAAAATTTGAGATACAGCGAGACCGTGATAAGGTGTGGGAAAAACGTAAATTTAACTTTTCCAAGACTGGTTTCCACAATAAAAATGTTTGAAACTGAGGTTCTCAATTTCTGGAAAACAATCCTTGTTGCCATAGTTGTGTTTGTGGAGATATGAAGATTGGTACCAAGAGTATTAAATCGCTACTTTATTTTGTCAGTTGTTTTGTCACAAACACTGGAATAATAGTTCAGTGATCTTTTAAAATTAATCAAGAAGTAGTCTGCAATAACTGAAATCAATCAGCAAAAGAATGAAGACGTCTGAGAATGTCCAAGAGGCAAGTTACTTGACTGATTAAATAATAAACTATTGCCAATACCACCTTGAAACAATATTTCTGTCTGTGATACTTAAGAAATCGCAATAAATCTTTCTTTTTTTTTAATAACAGTTTCCATGTTATTGTTAAAACAATGTTTTAGCTGAAATTCAACAAATAAGTTTTTTAAAAAACAACTTGGCAGATAACAGACAATTGGAAGACATATTTATATTTCATACCCGGTACAACACTGAAATGCTAAAGACTGATCATTTTTTTTTCAAGACAATAATAAATTCTTTATTTTGGAGTTAGATGAATATGCAGATATGAGTTGCAAACGTTTTATTCATAGTGAGGATCAGAGTTTTTTAAAAATCTTGGACAGAGTTTCCTTCTAATATTCACAAGTAACAATCACTCACATCTTGGAAGTGTATGGAATTATCATTATTATTATTTAATTGCATGGATGAAAAGTTTTCATGACATATGTTGTGTCACCATACATTTTGTTATCACACTGCATGTATTTTAGATGGGTTAGTTTAACCTACGGTATACTGGTAAAATGGACTTACTGTGTCATGAGAATGAAATGTGTATGTGTAAAAGGTGGGTCGAAAACATGAAAAGTTTGGAGAGTACTGCCCAACAGTTACACAATTGATGAAGCACTATTTTGTTCCTAAAACAAACTAAATTTTTAAAACACTTGCGTAACTTCTGCAAAAGAAACAATTTTTAATATTATATTACAAAAGTAAAAGTGTTTTTTGGCTCCATTCATGTCTGTGAAACATTTTTTTTTCTTCGATAATAAATAAATTATCCCATTGTTGATTATCTTATGAAAACTTATAATAAAATCTTTTAAGATGCCAATAGAATAATTTTTAAAATAGAAAAGATGAAAATTGTTTATTTTTGCATTTCATCATATGCATAAGAATAAATAAATAATTCTGTAAGGTGTTAATTCTATTCATGAGGTCTAGTGATGCATGAGCGCCGCCATGAGTTAATGCATTATCAGAATTGCCTGTGAAGTCATTAGGGTTGGCCGACCTGATAGAAAGGGGCCAGAAAGTCATAAAGAATAAAAAAAAAATTGTTGATGCTGGGCTATTAAATTGTACTGTTTTTTTTTTTTTTGTTTCATAAAAAAAAATGTACCATTTCACACTTCTACTTCATGCTAAATAGAATATAAATATTTTTACATGTCATCCATTGGTTATAATAACTTATAAAATATATCAGTTTTGTTTAGAAAACCAAATTTCCCTTTTTTCCCCCCACAGGATTCCTGGATTCTATCTTAGCCTCCGATGTCTGATTGGGTTGACTGTGATGTGCATTCTGGGAACTGGGCATAAACTTGTACGTTACTACGGGGGTATTGATCTCTTTCAGTTGCTCCAGGAAAACCTGCCAAAGCTTCATTAACCCTCGAGACATTTTCGGAGGTTAAATTATCAATATTTGAAATGAAATGCAACACCTATAAATATAAAAAAAAATTAAATTTATTTTTTACTTTGTTTTTACCATTAGTCTTCTTTTACACCGTTATTTTGTATTTTTTGTCTTCAACTATATAATCAGAGCTTTTCTTGGCAATAAGTTTTTGCCACTTATTCTAAATGCCTTTATTTAATTGATAAGTTTGTTTAAAAGTAATATGCATAATTAATACATATCAGTTTTGCAGTGTTTAGTATTATAGGGAGGGATGATGTTAGTTGTCAGTTTGACTGCCATTACCTGTAAGCTTTTCATTGAAACACTATGCAATAACAGGCACCTTTACTGGCCCACATTAATTCAGTTTGGATCTTTATATTTTTTTACCCAAACCGTAACAACCTCATGTTGGAAAAAAATTATTTCTTTGGTCGTTTTAAAATGTACTTTTGATCATAATTAATTATTGAGATGATTTATTTAATACATTTTTTATCTAGACCTGCTCAATGTTACCTCAAAAGTTCAGATGAATTTTGTAAACTGTAACGTTACTGTTATGCATTCCATGCAAAAATTGAACCAAACTCCCATTTAAATATTGCCGAGACTGGTTCTTATATTTAAAAAAAAAAACTTTTCTCGTTTTAATGTAATTCATCTATTATACATCTTTTACTTAAATACAAAACTTTATATATTTTTTTTACAATGA